TTGAAACCGCTAAAGAGCGAGCTTTGGATAACAACAGGAGGATTCTTCATCTTCATTGGTTTTGTTGTTTGGGTACTTGAACATCGTGTAAACAAAGAGTTTCGAGGACCCAAACACAAGCAAGTTGGGATGATATTCTGGTTTTCCTTCTCAACTCTCGTTTTTGCTCATAGTAAATCTCTAACACAAAGCAAATTATATACAAAAAGCTTTAGGATTTATCCTTGTTTGTCAAAAATAATATATATGGCTGGTTGTTTCAGGAGAGAGGGTAACTAGTAACTTTACAAGATTTGTGCTGATTGTGTGGGTTTTCGTGGTTCTGGTGCTGACATCAAGTTATACTGCCAACTTAACATCTATGTTGACAGTGCAACAGCTCCAACCTTCTATAACTGACCTTAATGATCTCATCAAGAATGGAGAATATGTTGGGTACCAAGAAGGTTCATTTGTCAAAGACATCTTGAAGCACATGAAGTTTGACAGTTCCAAGTTCAGAAGTTATAGCACATTGGAAGAGTATAGTGATGCCCTCTCAAGAGGAAGTAAAAATGGAGGTGTAGGTGCAATTGTTGATGAACTACCTTATCTCAGACTCTTCCTCAACAAGTACTGCAGGAAGTATATTATGGTCGGTCCGACATACAAGGCTGCTGGCTTTGGATTCGTAAGAATGTCGCACTCCAGTGATATTTCAGAACGATTTCACATTTGTCTAATATGGTTTATGGTTTACTCAATAATTTAATCTTTTATTTTCCCCCAACTTCTGGCAGGCATTTCCAAAAGGATCTCCTTTGGTACCTGATGTCTCGAGAGCAGTCTTGCTGGTGATGGAAGGAGAGTTTATGAACAACATAATACAGAAATGGTTTGGGAATGAAACAGAATGTCCAAAGCAAGATGGAATGGTTATAGCATCTAGCCTCACACTAGATAGTTTTAAGGGCCTTTTCCTCATAGCTGGTGTATCAGCAGGCTCCGCTCTTCTCCTATTCTTCCTCATCTTCCTTTATCAGAATAGAGAAATCTTAGCCACTGATGATTCAGTGTGGCAAAAGCTTTGTGCAATAGCAAATGCCTTTGATAAAGAGAAAGACAACCCTAATTCTATGTCACAAAAGCCATCTGAAGGCAATGAAATTCAAACAGCTACGCTGTTTGCAGAAAGTGAAGCTTCTACTGAAATATTGCCCAACCTTTCTTTGCAAAGCCCAGAAATCAAAATTTCCGACGGCCTAGGAGCATCCCCTCCACCTGAAGGATTCTCTACAACAGAACCTGGAACTCCAGTTCATGAAAACATTACAAGGATAACTGAAGAGATATAAGCTAGGTTTAAAATAGTTGAACCATATTATATTTGCATCAAGATGCGTCTCTAGTATTTAGACCTTCAACATCTTACAATTGAATTCCTTGCACTGCATTCAAAATTAAATATTTATTGAATTACTTTCCATGTCAAAATTAAATTTCCAATTTAAGAATCCCTTTTGAGTTATCAGAAAGGATAAGATTGTGTAACTATGAAATTCTGGAATACAAATTTCTACCAATGAATATTTGAGAAGGGAGCCATTATTATCTTCCTATGAGGAGTTGATTACTTGGATCCTCAATCAATTAATAATTATATCGCATCCATTTTAATGTGTTGTTGGAGAAAATTGTCTTTTTGAAATAATTATTAGTTGAGTAATCATTTAAAAAATTCATTTCCGTCCATGTTTTGTGTTTTCTACAGTGAGATATGTGGCTGCCCCCTTCCTTGATGAATGCCTTTGAGTCACGACGGATCAAATATTTGTGGTTAACTGTGATCCTTATGAAGAAACAGAAGAAGATGCACACCGTTAGATGACGGCAACGAGAGAGAAAAGGAAAGTAGGAGCAGTTTGTTGATGGGCCATTACCAAGAATTGTCATGATCGAATGAATAAAATTTCTTCAAACTTAACTAGTGTTTTGAGTTTAATTATGATTAATGATATATAAGATTTCTCTAGCTTTAACATTAACTTTAAAGCAAATATTATCGATCAAGAATGTCATCTGCAAATAGCATACACCATGCGGTACTTTTAGAAATCAAAATTACCAAACATAAGTTGTCTAGTAATATGTCCACACCTAGGTATATATGATCATAGCAGAGAACTATGATTATCCACCCATTCTTATGGATAATAAATAATGAAAGATTATAGGACTAGCATTGCATGTTAGAGAGCTTCAACATCATATGCGTTATTTCCAAGCAGCTTCCTCTTGCATTAACGATTACTCCCTGTCAATTTTAAAAAGAATTGACTTATTTTTCTGTTTAGTCTATTTTTTTTTTTGCTAACACTTTAATTTCAGTTATTTTACGTGATATAATTCTAATTTAAAATTAGAAGATTGAAAAATCATATTTATTTTTTTATAACTCTGTACCAAGTTAAAGTAGATTACTTATAACTGAAAGAACGTAAACTAAAGATTGAGTTAATACCTCAGATGGTCACTCAACTATGCACTCTTCTCTCATAAAGTCACTCAACTTTCAATTTTCACTCAAAAGTCATTTAACTACGCACTTCTTTCTCAAAAAGTCATTCAACACTCAACTATCCACTCTTTCCTCAGAAAGTCACTCAATCTATTAAATTATTTTTTAATTAAAAATTGTTGATATTAATTATTTATATAACAAACCAAAAATTTTAAAAAATAAATTAAACCATTTAGTAATCCACCCACCTAACCCGATCCATTAAAAAAATATGAAGACCCATTTTATTTTGTCTTTAATCCTAATTCAAGATTTAAAGAGAGGGATT